CTGGGGTTTTTTGCCTTTCTCTGGATCAACTGTGGGTGTAGGATTATAACTTTTTTTATGGTTGAACTGAGTGGACTTTTGTCTTTTTCCAGCCAGACTAACTATTTAACTATGAGGAGGATAATATATCTAGATTTAACCCAGGAAAAAAATATAATGTCCCAAATAGAGTGGATTTGAATAAATCCAATTTTATTTCCAGAAGACCTAAAAATAGAAATTCCTAGTCCTAGAGAGACATCTGGTGGACAGGTGCAGGCAACACCTAACAAACATTAGGTTAATCAATAGAAGTGCCTTCCAATCAGATGAGGTTAAATATTCTGAACTACACGTTTCTAGGATAGTTCTGATATATGGGAATTTTGGGAATAAAAGGGTAAAGTTCAGAGAGAAAAGGGATCACTCTCTCAACCTAACAGATTATCTTCCTCAACCCAGGGAGCATTCGCTTCCGGCCGAATGCTTTACCGGCCGTCCTGTGTTCCAGGCACTGGCATCTTCAGTGTGGGCACCTGGCTGTGACAGCTTGCGACTTCACAGCTGGGTGCGCATGCGCGTGTAGCGCTGCACTTCCTGAATGGCCCCGTAGTCTTCTGGGACCTGTCACGTGTCCCAGAAGACTACGGGAAGGGAAGGTAGGAGGACAACTTCCGCTTCACCTGTCAATTTCGGGTACCCGCTCCCCAAAAGTGCCAATCCATAATGGGGAGTGGGGGACCAGTCTTTAAAGAGGAACTTCCCCTTTTGGGTGGAACTCCGCTTTAAGGTATAAGTTGATAACTACTCTGCAAATTTTTTCTCTCACTTCTGAAATCAGCTGAATGTGTATTCCATAGTTTCAGGTGATAGATTTTTGGCATTTTATCCTCTTCATAGATATTACCTCCACCTAAGAATCAAGTAATTAGGTTAAGCTTTGTCAGTGTAGCCAATAGCATAGACGTGATCCTTGCATTCTGCTGCAGAAGAATTCAAAGGGAGGGTCTGATTGGGTGGATGTTGTTGTTTGCCAGTATAGTCAAAATTGCTTGTATTCTGAGACAGTGGTTATGGTACCTACTGAATGAAAAATAATCGTATTTATCCTCTGTTCCTAAGCCCAAATCTCTAATTGTGCTAACAAATCTCTACATAGAGTTAAACGGACTCAGGAAATTAATCAAACCAGCTTGGTTTATAGTTAGTAATTTATTTCATGCTAATTAGCACACCATAAGGCTGGAAGCACTTTCATATATTAAGTAAATAATCAGGTTTGCTGTCTTGAACAATTGTTTAAACTTCCTGACAATGCGTCAAGTAAAGTGTATGTAAACTCTAGCAATTCATTTTTTCTTATTTCCTCTCTTCAGGTCTGTCAAATATACTGTTCAAAGTATTTTTTCTTCTGTTTGACAAGGGCAATAAATAAATAAAAAAAAAATTCATCCTGCCAGAAATTTTGCATTATAATATTTTTATAATTTTAACTTATAATATCCTGTGCTCTTTGCCAGTGCTGCATTGTATACCAGTTATATTGTTCTTAGGTCTATAAGATCCTCATTATGAAAAAAGCTGTTTCCACTTCTGCATTCATTTTTAACTGCATTCCTCAGTTCCATGCACCATTCCCTTCTGGCCAGTAGAGGGGGACTCTCTGTAGATGTGACTTTTGGAGCTACAAGCCAATATTTGTAGATTGAGTAAACGGGTTTGGAGTTACAACCCCTTGGTGTCTGTTTTTAAAAAAATGTTTTTGCTGCCTTCTTTTTCTTCCTGTCTCAGATGAAACTCATACACTGAATATTATCCAGAGATCACCAATCTATTTTTCATTATTCAGATGTTTATTGATAGAGGTTCCAAATATATAATCATGTAACTTAACTATAAAATGAAAAACTCCCTCTGATCTGTGTTAAAATCCATAATTGCATATCTGTATGTATGTGTGCGTATATTTACTTATACACACTCATATATACAAATTAATTTCATATTTATATATTATGTCCAAAGAGATAACAGGTAATACCTCTACTAAATATAGGCTGAAATGGCCATTAGAGACATATGGAGAACTTTTTTATCTTCATAAATTATGCAATTCCTGTGTTTACATAGTTTATTAATATAACTTAAATGAAGGTAGTCAAAACCAACTTTAATGAGAATCCACAAGTTATTTATCATACATAATTTGTGAACAAATGACCACACTGACAGTGAAAGAATGCAAAAATTAACTATACTTATATACATATTAAAATTTGTAAACATCGCATTTTATCTTGAATTTAATTTATAATTAAGTAAATTATGTATGCAGATAATTATGATGGCATAACTGTACCTGTGTTTCCTGGTGTTGAATATATCATTATTTACTTAAAAATAAACATATTATGTCACGTTTTTGTTTTTTTTACTCCCTTTGCCATTGATATTTGTAAAGCTCCTAAAGGCAGAGACTAGACAGAACTTGAAAGATATGCTGAGCAAACTAAGATAAATTAAGATTTGTTGTACTAAATTCGTCCACGGCAAAGCAGTGAAAATACCAGGGTATTGTGCTTGAGAATGCACTGCGTGCTTTGCAAATTTCAAAATTTGCAGATGGGTTACGCCTGCCCATTTGGCATTGCAATCTCATACCAGTGCCACACATACATACTCTGAATTCATTTGTAGGAATCATTGACATAGAAGCCATAGAATGTAGCCTTTGGTTTCCACACAGTATCTTCCTTCTTATCTAAATTTAGTATTTCACAATATTTCTATTGTGCCAGAAGTTTAAGAGGCACATTTATTTCAGGTCACTTACGGATCAGATGTTTGTCACCCACCCAAGCCTCATACACATAAGCTCCACACACTGCCTCATCCATATACACAACTTGACACTGGCTTCAGCTCAGTGCAGCGAGGGGCATCAGTTACAGTTAGTAGGACATATTATATGGTACCCCAGTGTTTAACCTATGTTACCCTAAAACTTTTCACTAGAACTATTTTGTTCAAAAACAGGATGAACACTGGTACGAGTATTGCCCTGTCAATGTTATCACGGGCATATTAATTGACAATATATTGCTCATGTAAATCGTTTCTGTAAAATCTTAATTCTTTTCAATGCAGAGATCTATCTAATATTTTTAGCATTTATGCCATGTAGATCTGTATGCGGTTTAGCAAAGGCACATTGATTGTAAACCACATACGGCACTGGTCAGCACAGCATCGTTAGATATAATGTAATAACTGTACTGTTGGCTTCAGTGGTTATTTCTACATTAACAAAGGGTAATATTTAAACATGTTGCAGCCTTAAAAGCCCAAAAGTGGTTTAACATGAATATGAAGTAGGTGATATGAATAAAAAACAGTATTCATAATTCTGTTACAATGCAAGATGTTTCAATTGCATGCACCAGATACAGCAGAATTTCTCAATTTTGTATATATTGCTATTGATATCATTAGAGAGACACCTTGGGACTGAAATATTAACAAGTATTTAAAAACCTTTCACTCTGTGCCAGATGTCAACATTTCTGTAAGGTTCCTATTCACTGACGTGTGCACCCTGGGATTACACATATATATATATATATATATATATATATATATATATATATATATATATATATCAGAAGTATCATTTGTGTTACCTCACATTCACTAAACATATATGTCACATAGATGTACATTGTGCGGGTGCTGACGCTGAGGAAATATGTAACACAAAGTAGAATTCTGGGCTAAGTTAATTAACAATGTGATCAGACCTAAACACAATGCAGCTTAGTAATAAATAATAATATACCTAAATTGAAATTCAGTTTTAAGAGACACACCTATTTACCCCAAGATTTAATTGCATTTATGATCAAACCAAATAATATTAGCTACATTAATCAAGTTAAAGAAACATGTCATTAATTATACAACAAATCGACCAAGCTGCATTCTCCATACTAAAATGTAATTTGTTTCTAACTAATTACCAGTATAAGAAAGAAGAAAGCAGCTTTAAAATAGATAACTTGATAGAGAGATGTACTGGATCTGAAAAACCCAAGACAGTTGACGTGTTTTTCCAGTTATAGATTTCTTTAAATACATTTAATAAAGGGCAAATTATTGGTGGCAAACGGACAAATGTTGCACATGAAATGTCCATACCAGCCTTTCTAGAATAAGGAGCTGCCATTCAATTATATCAAGGGTTGTTGACCCCATTTGTCCCTTACATGTTGGAAGGAAAATATGTACCGGGTGGATGACTAACCCTGAGCAGCATGAAATATGGAAGTCTTTATGTTAAAGATTATGGGGCAACAATTCCCACACAAAGGGATTTCATATAAGTTAATGGGGGAAACACCTTTCCTGTTACGAGATGCCTGCTGAATATTTTAATAGAGTTCATCGTAAAATAAAGGGGTTTTGGCCCATTATTCTCCTCCACCTTCTTAAAACACAAAAAGAAAACATTTCCTTAAACCAGCAAAAAGTAAAACGCAGTATAAAGAAAATAATGTGTCTGAGATTTACAGCAGCATTAGAGGCGCAGTTAGGAGGGTGGGTGGGAAGTTTGATGGGGACCTTTACATCTAATTAAATGCATATAGCTGACCAGTAATAAGGCACTTAGGAGCTATATTACCATCTGGCTTCCAGTGCTACATTTTTGTTGCAGGGAGGATGAATCCCTCTTGTTTGAGCTGTAAATACCTTTCTATGTGATATATATATATTTTACCCCTGAGTTGTTTGACCCCTTCAAACGACCCCATCCCAACTTTGTTGAGAAAGTCAAGCACATTAACTGCTCCTTCCGCCTCTATTTCAACACAATACCCACAGCCTGGTAAGAAAAGAAACATCTTTCAAAGTAGAACCCGACCCCCCCCCAACACACTTCCCATGACGGATATTACGCTAACTAGGCCAAAATTGTGTGCGTGTGAATGCTTGTGTATCACTATGTAATTGTGCAGAGGTTTTATTTATAGAGATTGTGTTTTCAGTTCTATAGGCTCTCCCGTTGCTTCCTGCTGGCCTTCAGGCTCTGCAGGTCGAGCTCCTTTAAGGATTGAAAGTCTCTCTGACAGCCCTCTCATTCTTGGAAAGAGGATGAAATCATACACAAGACCTCCGAGTGCTCCACCGATGATGGGGCCAACCCAATAGACCTGCATATTTAGGAAATAATTAAAATAAGGTAAAACAATTGTGAATTAGGAATTTCATTAGGTATTACACATTTTATGCTGTTACTATTCAGATTTTTCTTCCTGCAGTTTATTGAATGCCACTCATTATTTTTCTATGGATGAACTTTATTCTTTTGTTTAGTACCAAAGGTCTACTAACCAGCAAATGCTTCTTTTTGCTTGTGAAAATTTTCTGTATATCAAATATCAGGGTATTTTTTATAATATACAACTACAGCTTTGTTAAGAAAAAACACTACCATTCAGGTACACTACTTACAATGCAAGAATATTAGCATGCTTTTTTGCAGATTTGTACTTTTCTGTAAACTGAAGAAATTCATGGTCACTTTGCTATTTTTTTGTATAAGAGAAGTCAGCAAGTCTTCTGGGTGGGGGGGTCTGTATGGCAAACTCTCAGTTTGACATATTGCAAGGAAGTAACATTTTTAGAAATTAAAACCAGCTGCAGACTAAAATGAAAAGGCATTTTTCATAGAAATACATTTGCTTGTGTAGCAATTGAATATGTTATATTATTTTACAAAAATAGCCTTTTCCCTTATTAAAAGAGAGTTTTAAAAATTATATTTTCTATGCATCTATGTAGTAGAATGAAGGGATTACCACAATACATCAAACTATCAGAAGACCACTATTACCTAGATTACTTGAACTGAGACTTCACTAGAAAACAAAATACTATACTATCAGACTTCACCAGCACATAACATTTCAAACAAAACATTATTGCAGCTCTCTGTCCAGAGAAGGGAAACAACAGGGGGATAGCTAAGACATGATTTTTCGTTTTCCTGAAAATGCCATTTTGATTTTTACATTTACATACTCCACAATACTATGATTAATTAAAGGCAGTGACTAAATCATACAGAATTTAATAAAGTATTATACTGCCTTTTTTCATTACTTCACATTAATGTTTACCCAATGCAGCAGTTATAGTTGAATTGGAACTTTCATACTATATATCTATAGGCCTTTCCCAATTCCCCCAGGCTAGGCTTCTGCTTCCCCCCCTTAGATAGACCATCACAAAGAGTGTCAACAAAATGTTTCTCTCTTGCTTCTCCAAAGCTTCTTTAGATATTCCATCAATCAGTTCTGAAAGCTGGTATGTGCTGTTTACTTGCATCTCTGGGTGTTTCTGTGACATTACGAAGTTTATTGAAAATTGGACAAAATTAGCTGGATTCCAATTAGCTTTTCTTGCAATAATTTTAATAATCAGTGCATTGACTGCATACAATAATGTCTCCAACCCATAACCAGCCTTCCTTGAAGTGTGTCACCACTCCTGGCTTGTTCACAAGGATAGGGACTTTCCCTATGCTAGCACCCAGGTTGTCCGTGTACAGGAGAGGCCAGTCTTGAGTGGAGTTATGGATCTGTGTGTGTTTCTATTACCACATTTATGCTACACTCTACTGTGGAAAAATACACAAAGATTTGAGCCCACTACCAATTAGCAAACATTCTTAAAACAAAAAAAAAATTAATTAAATTTGAATAGCGTATAGCCAGCTTTAAATTAGGGTTAGAGACCACACTACACAGAATGGTCTTGATGAGACTTGTGGCCTTTACATAGATTTGCAGATATACAGTATATACAATGAACACTATTGATTTCAATACAGCTTTATTTCTTTAATATTGATTTTACTGCTGTCTCCTGGTGAACATTGCCACAGTTACTGAAAGAGAAAATTCAAATTTTTGAGTTGTCACAGGAACAGGAAAAAGGGGAAAATTTTACGTACACTTGTTTTACTGACCATTTCCTTCCTTCTGAGAAATCTCTTCTCAATTCCTATTTTGTCTGAATACAGGAAGTGAAGGACAAGCCTTCCAAATGGTCACAGTCAGCAAAAAAAAAAAAAAAGCCTGACATGTTCCTTATGCTATCCAAAAATCAAAACCTAACTCTGGGCTCAGGATTCCCCTCCCCATTTCATTATACCTACCATTTTTCTTAATGTCTTTAGTATGATCTAGTAATTTCATGGGTCCTCTTCACCCTCTGCTTCTGGCAGTATATGAATTCTGAATGCTGCAGAGAGCTATGACTGTAACAGCAGAACCATAACACCCTAGGCTCACAGGAAGTGGGTTGTGTGATTCTGGGTGTCATTCAATCCCCAAAGAGGAGGGGTACTGGATAGGTGAGTGAGTGGGGACAGTGGCAAACATAGGAGTAAGCAGAACAGTCAAAGCTATTTTTTTTTATTTTCAAGAACTGCTGGGGGGGGGGTTCTTTTTCCCAAGCTTGAATTGGGCTTTTGAAAATAAACATGGCCTTAGATATAGTTCAGTTAGTGTTCTATCTATCTAACTGCAACTGAACATGTATCTGTGACTTCTAATCGACATAAAAAAATATTGTGGTTGGTTTACTAAAACTGGAGAGTGCAAAATCTGGTTCATCTATGCATGGTATCCAATCAGCTTCTAACTTCAGTATGTTCATTTAGGCTTTAACAAAAAAAACCTGGAAGCTGTGCAGAACTGCACAAGATTTTGCACTCTCCAGTGTTAGTAAATCAACTACATTGCCCCTTATAAAAAACACGCAAGGCTGTTTAGTTTCTTACCCAATGATTGGTGAAATTTCTAGTGAGTACTGCTGGAGCAAATGATCTTGCAGGGTTCATACTGGCACCAGTGTAATACAACTAAGGAGACAAAAGAAGAGTTTACACGTGTGCACATAAAAATACCATATTTATATGCGTTTACATAATTTACAGATATAGCTAAAAGTTTATTTCAGTACAGTATATATTCACTAGACATTAGACAACACAATAAAAACTCACCAGTACAGAGTAACATTTTTCTACAACCAAAGATTAATTAGTTCTTTTGTTTTTATTTATGGTTATCTCATGATCAACTAAATGCTTACATTGGTACTAAAGTATTAAATAACTGTCCAACTATACCTATCCAAGCCAGAGATGACCTTTTTTTAATTTGTATTACAGTTTGATTAGATTACTACAGATCCTTAATAGATATCTATGCAGCCATTGAGCATCACATGTCTGTTTCTAAAAGGTTGATTACCTGTATTCATCATTTTTTTTGTAAACTTTTGATCTTATACAGCTTTTTTTGTCCTTCTTACAAATGTATGTTGTTTCTCGGCCTCTGCAAACTTGGACTCCTATGGTTCATACAGCACCAGGGGCGGACTGACAACTCATGGGGCCCCTGGGCAATAGGGGATCATGGGGCCCCTGTGTCCTTGCCCAAACTCAAAAAAGCCTATGAAATAGGTACCAGGGGCATCTCATGGGGCCTCCTACTGACCCCTGGCCCTCGGGCAGTGCCCGAGTTTCCAAATGGTCAGGCCGCCCCTGTACAGCACTATGACAGAAGGGAACACAGTGATTTTAATCAGTCTCTCTTCTGTTTTCACAGAGCATATGGAACCTCCATTCAAATTATTCAATGATCAGGTCATCAGTTTTCTAGTACATTTCTTAAAAAATGGCTTAGAAAAAAATTGGACACAAATTGCAGTGCACTATTTCTTTATAAAGAGCCCTCAACCACTATTTTGCACTTATCATGATAGAAATAAAACATTCACTGCCATGAAATCATTATTGCTTTGCATGAAATAGCCATTTGACTATTATTTAACTATTAAATTCTGTCTTTGCTGGACAGAAGTCTAGAATTTAGGTACAGCCTGGACCTAAGGTCCAAGAGTCTTCAAAAAGACATAGGAATCAAAATAAAGACTAACACAGGTACTTGCAGACACCAAAAGATGCCTGCATTTTAGCAATCATATTACCCTAAGAACATTTTGTTCTGCTCAGGGTCACTTTAATGTATTTATTACTATATATCATGTAAACAGTATTGCTGATTTTTGCGAATTTGCTTGTAAATTCGTGTCTGTGTAGATCCTAAAATAATCTAATACTGATACTGATACTGTGCTGCTAATTTGTTTGTGATGCTAGGATGAAAATAATATTGATTTTTTTTCCAATGCTGCCTCTGTGGTAAGACATTACATAACTTAATTATACTGTGAGAAACACCCTGCCATACTGAGGTAAACTTCTATCCTAATCATCCTTCCTCCATATGCAACTGATGGTCCTTTGTTCTTTGTATAGTTCATATGCTAAATCTTAATAGTGACTTTAAATTTATTTAAGGATATTACTAAATGTGGACCTTTACTTAAAAAGTAAATATTTGCTGTCTTAAAGTCTATATCAGGTTTATTGTTGTTGAGCAGTGCTTAGACATTCCTGTGTCTGCGGTGTGAGATCATCTAATCATATCATGTCCACTGTGACCCTAAGGACTGCTTATCTCACCAGATTTTGGATTTATTTCTGAGCACTACATTGGCAGTTAGTTATCAGTACTGTGCTGCTTATTGTGCTTCTAAGGCAGGGGTGGGCAAACTGCGGCTCTCCAGATGTTGCAGGACTACAAGTTCCATCATGCCTCTGCAAGTCACAGCTGTAACTGTCAGTTTTGTAATGTTGCAATGCCTCATGGGAAATGTAGTTCCACAACAGCTGGAGAGCTGCAGTTTGCCCACCCCTGTTCTAAGGGACTCCTGGATTGGAAGCTGTACAAACAATACAAGGAACTTGTCGCAGCTACTTCATTCATACTGTGAATCTGTGGCTCTTATACCAGGCTCATTTTGCTGTCTGTTAATGTCATCTCCTTCCTGTGCTGTCATAGGATCCGTGGCTCCTCTCTCTCTCCTACTGCCCACTGATCATCAGTACCCCATTAGTCATCAGTTCAGTTCACCATCCATCAATTTATTAGACTGGTAGTAACAGTGGGGGAGGAGGGGTCAGGTCTGACATGAGGAAGAAATGCCCTGCACCTTTATCATGATGGTCACTATCATACGGCAATATAGCTGATCAAGACAGGATAAGTTGGTCCTGGGGAAAGGATCAGCTATAATAATCCTATACCGGTGACTAGTCCTTAGCCATTCTTTTAGATGCTGTTGGGACCACGTTGCACATTATAGGTCCTCTATACGTTATTCATTTCCTAAACTTATTCAAAATTAAAAAGTGATTCATACAGGGATAATACTATTCCAGGGGCGGACTGACAACTCATGGGGCCCCCGGGCAATAGGGGATCATGGGGCCCCTGTGTCCTTGCCCACACTCAAAAAAAAGACTATAAAAAAGGTACCTTGGCATTTCATGGGGCCCCTACTGACCCCGGGCCCTCGGGCAGTGCTTGAGTGCTCGAATGGTCAATCCGCCCCTGTACTATACTTTGGGTACTATTGCTTAGTTGACTCATGGTACACATATACATAAGTTATCTGGCATTCTCTTTTCTTTTTACAGTCATAGCGACCAGCACTTACTTTTTTGGTAATTCTTGGGTCCATTACCATTACTTCTATATGTATGTTACTTTTGTTTATATGTAACACATATATATATATATATATATATATATGTATCCAATCAGTGGTAGGAGGGATGGAAGTCTTTCTATAATCTTGTTGCACATTCTTACTTACCCCAAAGAGGTGTCCCAAGGTGAGAGAAAATCCAATAGCCAAAGACACAGATCCCAAGCGCCCATTCCTCCTTTCATCATAGGTGGCAAAGATACAAAGCACAAATTGGAGGGTGAGGAAAATCTCCACTGTTGTTGCCTGGCCAAGACTTACACCAGGATGGAGCTGTAAAGAGAGCAATATGGTCAGAAAAGTAAAAGCATTTAAAGTCCATGAAAAATAAGACACTTTTCCTAATCCAAAAATACACATTGTTTATTGCATGTCTAACCTAGTTTTAAGGACTTCAGGGTAAAATTGAGTGAAAGAGAATTAACTACCATTAGATAGTAAAAACAAATTCTGTTTGAATAAAAGGCTGCGATTTGACATTGAGCAGTCCTGACTCCACTGAACTGAGTATTATTCTGCAAAAAATGTTTGACATGTTTTGAATTAAAAGCTAAGTGTGATGTAAAAAGGATCACAGCGTTCATTCAAATTCTTCATTTTCAATGCTCTTACTTTTGAAAACATTGGTTGAAACTAGAGTGATCATTGCAGGGTTTTTTGATGTTTCTATTCAAGTTTCTACCTAACAAGCTTTCTAATAGTTGATTATATTGTATGTTATTGGACAAAGATGTGCTTTCATAATTAGGACACTGCTTCTGAGTTTAATTCAATTGTGTACCTAATAATAACTTAATACAATTAAGTAATCATTTCAATGAAGTGCAGTATCTTTTTTACATTTGGTGTGATGCACTGTCACTTGTCTAATTACATTAAAGTGTTACTGAAAAAGCTTTGAACTTTGTATTAGATCATCCACAGTTATGAATGTAATAGAGCATCCACATGTAGTATCTATTAGCTTTATATGAAAAAAAAACGAGTGAGACATTTAAAATTCTTGAATGAGAAAAGGGTGTTAAATGGATAGACATATTCGGCAGGATTCAAATGGCTCTAATGCTGCTTTTCTGGTAGTAGTCCCCTTAAGAACTACCTGCGCCTAATTCAGGCAAACATTTGTGCCAGTGCCAATAACATTTCCAACATGTGTGGCAAATTCAGGTAGAATCTATCGCTATGGGAGCAACACATTTTTAAAGAATTACCACCAGTTCTCCATTTAGGAAACTTGTGGCAAGTAAGATCAACTCTGAGCTGGCATACAGAGGTATACCAGTACTCAGTGTAGGCCCTGCCTGTGCTGAGAAGCTGTCATGTATGTGACAGCTTCCCACACAGTGCTGTATCCCTGGCCTCATTTAGCCATAGGCCAGGAGATAACTTGGCCGAAAGCTAAATGTAAACAAAATGTCAGGGACACAGTGATGTCAATACCCAAATGCCCATATTTAGGAAAGTTTGTCACTGGGTGGGAAGACCTGATAAAGGAACTGACAGACTAGTTCCCCATTGGGTCCGCTCCACTTTTGAGTGACTGTTCACAGCAGTGGGTGGATCTGAAAGACGCTATTGGACCGAATAGTGGCTATGGATCTGCCCACTGCTTGCACTGTCAATCAAAAGTTGAGTGGACCTGAACTAGTCTGTCAGTTCCCCATCAGGCCCCACCCACTTCTACTATAAAAGTCCATGGTCAAATGCCTGTCACTGTAAAAAGCGCAGTGGCTGATGAGGGAGTGTACAGTGTTGAGTGGAGTGTGGACACTCCTTCCTCAAAGCAAACCTGGACTGCAGGGGCGGACTGACAACTCATGGGGCTCCCGGGCAATAGGGGATCATGGGGCCCCTGTGTCCTTGCCCAAACTCAAAAAAGCCTATGAAAAAGGTACCAGGGGCATCTCATGGGGCCCCCTACTGACCCCGGGCCCTCGGGCAGTGCCTGAGTTTCTAAATGGTCAGTCCGCCCCTGGGAGACTGATTAATGTACCAATCTGTGACAGGCACATTAATTTGGCTATAGACTGGCAAAAGAGTTACAGAATACTTCAACCACTGCTGGTTTTCCTTATAGCACAATATATACTGTACCTAATATGAGCAAATTTCCATAACTATATTTTCCCAGTAATAAAACCTATGTAATTTTTCTTTAAATTGTTACAAAAGGGGGTAAATTTACTAAAACTGCAGTGCTCAGAATCTGATGCAGCTGTGCATAGTAACCAATCAGCTTCTAGGTATTAGTCACCGGTTACACCGCTGCGATTTATGTGCAATTTCAGCACGATTTCAGGTGCGATTTATGAAGACTTTATTGCTACTTGTGTAGATTTTCAACAATTTCTTGCAGTCTGTGCAATTTCCATTATATTCTATGTATGTGAAATCACAACAAAACTTCAGAAAAAGTAATGCAAGAACTACTTTACAAATCGTGCTGCAGCAAATCGTGCATGTTAAGACACTGACATTCACATTCATTAGATGTAAATTCAGGTGTGATTTCAATTCACAAATCGCATCAGTATGACTGGGCATGTACTGTCAAAGCCTAATTGAACAAACTAGTTAGAAGCTGATTTGGTACTATGCACAGCTGTGCAGCTTCTGAGTCCTCCAGTTTTAGTAAATCTCCAAGGTAACTAGAACTAAACATCCCTAATTTTATGTGTACATTTTACCACCTTTAGGTTACTGTTAACCTGTGGTTACTGTTAACCTTAACTAGCTCTCTCATAAGCATTATTATTATTTTTTTTTTTTTTTTAAAGTACGCTTATTCTATGCATTTACAGGCAGAATCCCATGAGGAAGTGCTGATAATTAATGCCACCTTGTCATTTCTCTAAAGATTCCAGCAGCTGCAACTTGTAATAGCAGAGGTTGAATACTTACCTTTCTTGGGCGTGCAGCCCGTCCGTTGTTCACTCTCTTGCAGAGCTATTGGCACCATTGCTATCACTTCTGGGTGATGGATAGTGTGTCTCCATGGTTCATTCTCCCAGCTGCTGCATCGTTAGGGACTCAGTGGCCAGAGAGAGAAACCATGGGGCTCATTCATGGGCATCTGATACACCCAAAAATGCTGGGTAGCAGCAGTGCTGCTAGCTCTGCAAAAGAGAAAGGAATGGGCCTGCCTCCCATGAGAAAGGTAAGTTTACATCCTCTATTGCAGGTTGCAACTGCTGGCATTTTTTTGTACTCTGGTATACATTTTTTATACTCCGGCATACTTTTTAATTTCAGATTTATTTGATTTACATCTGTGCAGTATAAAAGGCAGCAAAGGTAAATTAAAGCGGAGTTCCGGAGTTCCACCTACAAATAAAAAATAAAAGTCAGCAGCTACAAAAACTGTAGCTGCTGACTTTTAAAATTCAGCCACTTACCTGTCCCTCGGTCCAGCTGTGTCCTCACCACCGCTGATTTCAACGGCCGTCTTCTCTCCCTGGTGCCAGCATCTTCAGTGTGGGCACCTGGCTGTGACAGCTTGCAGCTTCACATCTGAAAGCCCACTGCACATGCACGAGAAGCGCTGAGCTTTGCGAATGGCCCCCGTAGTCTTCTGGGACCTGTCACGTGTTCCAGAAGACTACGGGCAGGGGAGGAGGACAACTTTTGCTGCTTCCGATCGCTCCCCGCCGCTTCCTGTTCCTCTCCCCAAAGGTGCCAATCCTTAATGGGTAGTGGGGGACAAAGGCTTAAAGTGGAACTTCTCCTTTTGGGTGGAACTCCACTTTAAGTTATATTTTATTTAAAGTAAAACTGAAGGAAAAACATTTTTTTCATTTTGAATAGCGTAAGGGAAAGTTGTAACCCCCGTCTACCTGTTTTTTGGGGTTTTTTTTGCAATCTGTGTCTTATCAGGAAAATTTCCCATCACTTCTAGTCCCATAGAAAATCCCTTCTGGTAGTCACCAGAACTAGTGCCCACATTGGAAGATTTCCCAACAATTCTTGTTCTGGTGACCGCACAAAATTCTAATCCTGTTCCATTCTATGTAAAACTAGAATTATTATTAATTATGATTATATGACTGAGACAAGTGTGTTTTATTTTATTCATTTCTAGCTGAAGATAAATACACACGGGTATTTGTGCTAGTGGGTGGAGTACAAAAGAAATCTCTGCATTTCAGTTTCACTTATGTATATATTCTTTATGTAACATCTTTGTCATGTATGTGACTTGATTTTTAATTACTATGGTACGTTTGCATTTTGTGGAGTGTTTCACTTACCTGCACGATTTGTAGATTTTGCAATTTAAAAAGATTTTAGCTCCTCACACTGAACTGCAGCCTATTGTCTAAGGCCTGGTTCTTATAACCATCTCTGTTGTACGGTATAGCTTAATAAACTATGTAAAGTTGTTCTTGCTGTGAAGTCAGCAAACAGACTGATAGACCATGTTAACCAGCAATAAACACAGATATAGAAGGCAAAAGTATTTTCAAAATGACTAACTAAAAAAATGTAAACACACAAGCTTTCAGAACACTTGGTTCTTTTTTGAAGCATTAAAAACGGTAAAAGCTAAAGTGGCAAAGAACAAACATATATATGGATTCTGAACAGAGACACTATATACAGTGTAAATAGGATAACAAAAAGGTGAAACATGTTAAACTACAAAATAAAAACATTCAGAATATCACTGTTCAAATTGCAATGCTAATGAATGACCCTCTGACTCTTTTCATTTTGTACTTAACCTATTTACATGTTACATGTCATGTTATATATTATTTATGTATACAGTGCATTTATTGAGAATCTGTATATAATTTTTACTCTGCTACTTCAGTTTCTATCAATATATCTCAAAATGGAACCTAGTGTTCTGAAGGACAGTACTTTTTTTCCTATTAATAATGTTTTTATTATCTATTACTCTTCACTGTTAAAATAATACCTTTAAGTGGCTAATACGTTTTGCCTTCTGTACCTGTGCATAGAAGTCTAAATGAAGTGACAATGGCAGCATAACATTCCAATGAGTGGAGAGGTTTTAGGCTTCATTTACACTGGCACACTGATTCTCTGGGAAGCACAAGCAACCTTTATATTTCCAGATCACTTTTTCCTTCACTTAAAGATCCTGCTTTAAAGCAGATTTAGACACCTTTACATGGGTATAGCTACATTTAGAGTTTCTAATCAGATTCTGAATGCAGAGATTTATATTTTCTCTAAACACAGCTGAATGGAATGGCCCTAAATGCAGCTAAATTTCTAGTTTAAATTAATTTGATGAGAAATCAATACCTGCATTTAAATGCTTCTAGAAGTGTGCTTTAAGTGTATATAAATGTAGGTTTGACACTGCAAATATGAATGAGGCCTTTGGCAGAAAGACAAAAATTTAGACAAACAGGTTAAGTAATGTAACACTAGGAAGAGTGAATACACTGGAAAAAAAATAGCAAAGTTTCTTATGATGAGTATTTACCGTGTTAAGGGCCATGTTGCCACGGATTGCTGCAGGAGTGACACCATACAGAACGGCAGCTCCGGCTACTGCTCCTAGCAGTTGTGCTGCAATGTAGAAAATGGCACGGAACAGGGACATCTGTGAGCCGATAAGGAAGGCAAAAGTGACTGCTGGGTTAATATGAGCACCGCTGACATGGCCAATAGATTGGACCATAGTGGCCAGTGCAAAACCAAATGCTAATGCAATAAGCAATACATTAGCTGGGCCAGCCACCCACTTCAGAGATGCACCCAAGCCAAAGAAAACATAGAACATAGTACCAAAAAATTCAGCAAAAACGGCTCTCCAAAAGGAGAATGAGCGGAACTCCCACATGATGGGGGGCTTTGTGTGAAATCAGAGAGGAAGAGAACAGTAGGTAAATGGAGATTTACACAGTGGGTGGGAGAAGCCCCAGGATATTCATAAAAGACCCCCCAATACTGAAGGAGATGATAACCTAAGATACTCCAAGTTTAGGTAAAAACAAATGGGTTAACAAAAATGAAAACTTACAAAGAAAAACTAAACGTTAAAAAAACCCCCAAAAAAAGCCACGGACAGGAACTGCTCCAAACTCCCAACTGCTGTGGATACTTCCCCCCCAACCTGTTTATAGAGTGGCGGGGGGATTTATAAGGGGCAGAGGTTGTGACATGTTTAATCCCCCTATACAGAGACACACCACCCCCTAAAGGGAGGGGTAGAGTCAGAGAGATAGTGGTTAACTCTTCCGTTGTATTCTGTCTCCTCCCTCTGGGCAGCTCACAATATAAGACCACACCAGATTGTTTTGGCTAGATGCTAGTTTAAACCTGATACTAACAGTAGTGTGTAGTAGAAGTACGAATATTGTGCTAAAACACATTTCTTATAATACAAATATGAGTTGATTGTAACTAAAATAAAGTGTGAAAATGGGATTTATATATAAAGCAGTACTGAATATGTAAGAGTAAGAATGAAATATTTGCTGCCATTCGTGCAGAAATGATAACATACAGAATACACAAAGTCTATTTTTACAATGTACACTTACAACGTTTCAGTATGTACAAAAAAAATGTATTACATTGCATCAGTTTGGTGGGTTCATAATTATTGCATACTTTATATGCCTACGTCCTACTTTTCAAAAGTACTTCATGTTTTCATTAGCAATTCTGAAATGTGTATCTAAAATGTTTTTAATGTGCAAGTTGACAGAGGTTACTAATTCTCCATCCTGACACAACACGTGTACATTTGAGAGACGTGTAGTATCCACCCCTACCTTTGTACACCAAAATCTTTACTTTATGTAATTTGGTATGAAATTTGAATGGAGTTGTGTTTTCATGGTAACTGCATTGGAGGTATCTGCAGTGCTAGTGCCACTTTAATAATCAGGTATTTGAACTTGCTATACATCTGATAAGTGAAACCCCTGCCTTGCTCTCTCACATCCTCCACAGTTTATTTTGTAGCACAAGCAGGTTGCATCTAACCGGATTGTGCTTCTGTGTACAGTTATCTGGCTCCTTTCAGGCTGGGGGAGGCATCCTAAATCCACAGCTCCCCTATGGGATTATCCCATGTGCAGTTGGGATTGTTTTGCAAAGCGCTGTGCGAGCATCCTTTGGAACAAAGGCACTTGCTGTGTGTGAGATTTCATTCAGCACAGATCCTAGTCCATTTCTGTGTACTGTGCTGTCAGCATTTCCCAGATCGCCAAAAAAATTATCTATCTATCTATCTATCTATCTATCTATCTATCTATCTATCTATCTATCTATCTATCTATATATCTATCTCAATTATTTTAATGATGGAGAATCTGAAGGATTATATTGGTGAGGAAATGCTATTGTTTTACTGCTAGATAGAACAAGTGAACATCCTAAATAGTTGTAAATTTAACCTTGCAGAAAATGTTTCCATGATTTAGGGATCTGAAGGAGCAAACGGTTCCACTGGATGTAGAACATAAAGTATACTATAATGAATAGATACTATAATGATTTAACAGATGTCAAAACTGAAAAATTCAGTGTTCTTTTGCTTAAGTAACATTCAAAGCTCTATTAACTATACAGGAACCATAAAGTCCTCCACTTGGCACAGATATTCAAAGGAAGTATCACCCTTCTGTAAGATATCACACTGTTTTAAAGCAGTATTAAACCCAAAAGCAAACATTTATGTTGCAGCTTACCAATTCTTAGATGCGATGACTGCATTCATTTTCTTTTTTAGTCTTTCTTTCCCTTATTTTCATATGGTGCTCTAGCCATTAAGTAAAAAAAAAAAAGAAAACTAATGCAGCCACCACATCTAATGATTTGTAAGCTGCATAATATCACATTTTTGGTTTTGGGTCTAATACCGCTTTAAAGTATTGTGAATGCAATAAAAGAAATGAGACACCTTGGTGGTGGGGTGGACAGGTTGAAACTTTAAACTGAGAGTGTTTCTGTGCAGTGACAGATATAGGAACCCACTGGAGTTTATTTACTAAAACCAGAGCGGGCAGAATCTGGTGCAACTCTGCATAGAAAGCAATCAGCTTCCAGGTTTTATGGTCAAAGTTTATTTAAACAAACTGAACTTATACGCTTATTGGCTACAATGCACAGCTTCACCAGATTCTGAATGCTCCAGTTTTAGTAAATCTCCCCCACTGTGTGATTTTTTTAATTTAGGGTGGACAAGCTACAAGCATCACTTTGAAGGCATAGCAAATACTGCAAGTCACTGTCTGTTTTATAAGGGTTCATGCACATGGGTGCATTTAACAGAACAGCATAGACAAATTGGAGTATTTTTGTGCTTGATAGTTCCTGGTGTTGTATACAGCTCCAAATACTTGCATAAAGCAGCTTGTGTGCACGGGTGTAAGCTCCAAAACACAGACTAACTGTGCTCAGGAAACCTATGCCTGTGTGTATGTGCCCCCTTGAGCAAATAATGGTGCATAGTCATATACTGCCACCTGCAACCATTCATGTCTATGAAGCGCCAGAACTCCTGGCCACAAAAATACCCTAGACTGTTGTACTGGAGAATGTACCACTATGCATGAGCCCCAAGACAGCATGTAAGATAAGTTCATGCTAATTTTTTAGATGTATAAGATCACAAAAAAGTACATAGATGCTATTAAAACCATATGTATTCACAAATACAAATTATTTCTTTTTACTTGTTTTTCAATAAATATTGGCTATTAAAAAATGTAGTAATATTTAATTTAGAGTCATAGTAGTTCTGTGGAGAAATGCAAGTAAAGTGAAAATATGATCTCTGTCTCCTGAGACACAATGTGATGATGTAAACAGAGAAAAGCACAGAAAGCCCTATTGAACAAATATTATTAACTCAATCACTGGTTGGTTAACTTTTTGCAGTACTGTAATATGTGTATTTCCAGCTAAACAATGAAGGGAAGACCCAAGAATTTGATTAACTTTGTATTTCCTATTTTGTTTTCCCGACGTTAATGAGGTCATGGCTTGTTTGATAATAAAGCCTTCTCTAGTTGAGATTCTTTTGCTCTAGCCCTACCACCTAAATGAACAGCACACCTGCCAGCCCTAAAGTTTGAACATATATATATATATATATATATTTTTTTTTTTTTTTTTTTTTTGGGGGGGGGGGGGGGTTTTTTGGAAATAGCCTCCAATACAATTAGTCAAACATTTTGCAGTTCTCCACATACTGTATTGGAAATATCAACACTCTTCTTTAGTATATTGAAGTGTCTTACTCAATCTTACCACAATTTTTGCACAGATGGATAACTAGTGAGTGGGAAAAAAAAAAGAAATACCTACCTTTACTGGAGAAAATGCGCTTCAAACTGGTCACAGTTTTAAAGGCTTTAGATGACAATACAGGCAGTTGAACAAATCTTCCCCATTGGATATTGGATATTGTATTCTGACAGCAGGTGTAAGCAGCTGTCAGAATACCTAAACACTCACTGCAGCTAATTGGATGCTGTCACTCTTTGGCCAACAAGTTTTCACACAGCTGCTTCAATTTTAAAATCATTTTAAAATGTTTCAGGTGGTGCTCCCTGGACCACCCACGGATCATCCATGGATCACATTTTGGCCAGTTCAGCTGGAAACAACCAAAATTCAATCCATGTATGGCAATGTATCACTGTTAAAAAGGGGGGTCACAGCTCAGATTGACTGAACCACCCTTTTATGTGACAAAGGCCAAGATTTTGGTCATGTGACTAACACTGGAAGGAAACTGTAACAGTTGAAATCTCTGTTCTCCTATTTTTCTATATTTGTCAATGGAAAACTGTTGACTGGATATTTTTCCAGTTTAGGTAACATACAAGAAATATACAAATACAATTAATACAAATTATGGTATCATATGATATAATTTCTTTATGAAATGTTGTAATACAATAACAATTATTAAGCCTATAACATTCACATTTTTTAATGCCAACATTTGTTTCCACTGTCCATAAACAGCAGTTTCTCTGGAAATATTCACTTGCTGTTAATTAGACTCATGTTTTTGCTCCATTTGGCGTGTGCGTCCTACAGTTTGTGTGGCCATGGAGAGGGAAGATCGAGAAACACTTGCCGTTTCTACTATATCGATATCCTTACATGTGAGACAGGCAACCAGCTTTTCCCTTGAGGCACTTGATGCAAAGAAAAATTCATATGAAGCGCCTGCTAGAAAAGCACCAAGAATGGGACCAATCCAGTACACCTAGAAAGACAGATTCAGCATTTGAAGAACCCATAAATAAGTCTAACCAGCCTTTAAATATACAGTAAAAGTGCTAAGAGTTTAATGTACGAATTGTTGCCTGTACCATCTTAAATGAAGTAATTTGCCTGCCTGCATTTAATGATCTGGTAGCAGGTATAAAGGTCAGACCTCTAGAGCAACCTGCAAATACATGCAGTAGCATTCATTGGCCCCTCTGTGCCCTATTGTCAGGTTTTTCTGAAAGTGCAAAGCTCCAACACATCCTGGTATTGTTTAAGCTTGGCTATTATCTCCCATCACCTATAGATTCCTATTTAGCCATTGCTAACTTTCCTAGCCAGTTGAAATTTGTGGAAAGTGGTAGGCAAGGTGTTCATCCAACAATTTTTTTCTAACAGACCCCTATGAATGTTGCATGCTTTTATGGTGAACCAATGTAAATTGAATCTAACGCAAAAGACAAATATAGGGAGAAGATAAACCTATTTATGACACTATAACAAAAGTATTTTTGGTTTGGGAAAAGTAGGAAATATTTAAAACTTAGGTTAAGTTTTTCTTTTTGCTCTCTATTTCCTATTGAAGAAATTTACCTTCACTTCCTCTCTGAGACGCAATAGGAACTGAGGGGAAAGCTCTGCAAACAGCAGTTATTAGCAAAAGGAGGGTCACACTATAAGATTTATCCTTGCCTCCTGTTCCATGGACAACTGTAACATGGATTGTTTATCACTTTCTGACCACCATCACAAGTAAGGAGGGTCAATCTCCATTTCTGGGACACAGACAACAAAAAAAACCCTGAAAGAAGTTCTAAGAATTCTGTGCTGTATACAAAAGTGGTTTTGGCTAGTGATACAATTTAAGTTAAATTAAGTTAAAAATATGTTTTCACTATGCAGTGGGGCTGTGCTCACACTGCATGAATTAGCTGCTTGTTTTTCCTAGGGATGAGGACAAAGTTCATACTCACCTGACCTGCCGATCCTCCATAAACCCACTGTCACGTACCTGACCGGAGGCTGCAAAAGAGAGAGCGCTCCCCTTACGGCTAAGTGCAGTGCGCCCCTGGAAGGTGGAAGCAGGAGGTGCAGTGCCCAAAGAAGCACGGGTTGCCAGTGATGTTGCTGCTTGGAAATGCCTGATGAGATGGAACCCGTGGGTGCTCCAGTTGCAGGATGCGTTTCTCCAGAGAACACGTGGATCCCGGAGGATGGGTAGAGTAGTCAGTAGCCAGAGCCAGGATCAATATGGAACAGCAGACAAGAACAATGTTAGGATCAAGCCGGGGTCATACACAGTAGCAGAAGACAGGAGCAAGGTCAGGATCAAGCCAGGGTCATACACAGAGCAGCAGAAAACAGGAGCAAGGTCAGGATCAAGCCAGGGTCATACATAGAGTAGCAGCAGACAGGAGCAAGCCAGGGTCATACACAGAGTAGCAGCAGACAGGGGCAAGGTCAGGGTCATACACAGAGTAGCAGAAGACAGGAGCAAGGTCAGGATCAAGCCAGGGTCATACACAGAGCAGCAGACAGGAACAAGGTCAGGATCAAGCCAGGTCGGTAATGGGTAATCAGCAGTAAACTCAGGAACACAGGAACGGGAGGGGCTGACGATAATCCAGCAATCACTGAGCAGAGCTTCAGTCCATATAAAGGCCACTGAGTGTCAGCAATTAGTGCACCCTGCATGTGCCGCTTCATTTTCATGCACAGGAATGCATGATTACGTGTCGCCCACCTATGTGCATGCGCTCTTCTTTGCGCAAATTGGTATTGCCATATTGCACATTGGCGCATTTACCCGGGCTTCCTCATCTTTTCCTCTGACACCCACACTTCCCCACGGTCCAGCAAAAGACTGTTCCTGTTTGTGGAGCATGCTTTGAGCGTGCTAACATCAGAACAGTCCATTAACAAGACCGCTGGACCGCAGGGGGGCAGGAGCCGAAGGGACCGGTCTTGTGCAGTGAGGATTGGCGGGTCAAGTGAGTATATCTCTGCTGTTCTCTCCCCTGTACAAAACTGGTTTTGGCTAGAGATATAATTTAAGTTAAAGCAGAACTCCGGTCAAAAATATTTTTTCACCATGCAGTGGGGCTGTGCCCGTACTGCATGAATTAGCTGCTTGTTTTTTCTAGGGGTGAGGACAAAGTTCATACTCACCTGACCTGCAAATCCTCCAGAAACCCACACTCTCCCACGGTCCAGTGATAGACTGTTCTTGTTTATGGAGCATGCTTTGAGCATGCTAACATCAGGAACAGTCCATTAACAAGACCGCTGGACCGCGGGGGGGGGGGGGGGGGGGGCAGGAGCCAAAGTGACCGATCTTGTGCAGTGAGGATTGGCGGGTCAAGTGAGTATATGTCCGCTGTTCTCTCCCCTAGAACAGTTAACCCATGCAGTGTGGACACGGCCCCACTGCACGGGCAAAAGAAAATTTTGTCCAGAATTCTTCTTTAATCATGAGGAGATCAGAGAAACATAGACTGACAAGGAATCTGGGTCACTTCAAAAAGAAACTGTAATATGGAACTTTGCTCAGAAAGATTAGATTGCCTTGGCCTTGGCTCAGACTTGGAGAGACCTAATCTCTCTTTAAGTAATGTTCATGTGTCCTTAGATTGTGTATTTATATGTAAATGGTAAAGAAATGAAGAATAACAATAAAAACTAAGATCACCATTTTATAACAAATTTTAGAATTTGTTATATAAAACTGAAGTAACAGTTAAAAAATACAGCATTAAAAAGTATAATTTTTAATTATTATCTTGGGATAATTTTATTCTTGTAAATAATGATTGGTAAGGCAAATAAAATCATAAAGTGCTAAAGGCACAATTGTTCTACCAGTATTTTCTTTGGTTTTCTGTTTACAGCTAATTTAAAAAAAAAAAAAAACAAATAAAAAAAAACAATAGAGAACATGCAGGGAATCTACATAATCCCAGAAATCCAGTACTGCAGGACAGCAGTGCCATGGATGTATCTATTCTTCTGCTCATTAGCATAAAGACAATAAAGATAACATTTTAATTTATATTTGAAAGCTAATCTATTTTAAGGAGCTCACAAAAAATGTGCATCTTTTTAGGACCTCATTGCATATGCTTTGAGTATTAACCCCTTTGCATTGACAGTACGCAAATATGCGGCTTCTAGGCGAGTGGGCCTTGATGCAGAGAGGCCACATATTTGTGTACCTAAATGTAAGCAAATGTTCCGAGACTGCGTGCCCTGAATGCTCCCGGCACAGTTACTGATGCTTGATGGAAAGCTATCAATCGCTACTTGTGATCCTGAACTTTCCCATCATGTGACCGCTGTGACAGCCAATCATGGTGGTCACATGATTACAAAATTCCACCTTGCCTCCTGGAATCTGAAACTCCTTAAAGGGCAGGGAAGTGCAGCATTAAGCTAGCCATACATTAATGTTTTCTTTTTTTTTTCGACCAGTGGGTTTAACAAAAATAAAATAGACCCCATTTCCCTATCCATCTCAAATCACTCCTACTGTGCTTTTGTGATTAAAATCCTATCTATAGAAGGCACAAAGAATAGCACGAGTGGCACATAAAATCCCTAGGTTATTTATTTGATCATTAGGTTTAAGGGGATGAGAAAAGGGAGCAGCCGGGAGAAGGTAATGTTTATTAAAAAGTTTTTATTATTATTATTATTTATTTATTATATAAGGTGTAAAGGGTGATTTGGATTTGTACCCCTGTTAGTCTGGTTTCTCTTATGTGTTATGTCTTGTGGGTTTATGTTTGTATGTGTAAGGTTTTAGTAAGGGATGTTCTATATCTTTTTTTGTAATGTGTATAAAATTTTATAAAATATTTAAATAAAAAAAGAAGCACAATAAAATGTGAGAAATATTTTTTTTGTTTTTCTTTAGAAACTCACCCAGTGATGTTCCCAAAACCCAGTAAGCAAGGCTGGTCCAAATGATCTGGCTGGGTTCATACTTCCACCTGAGAATGGCCCCTATTATTTATGATGGCAAGAATTTGAAGATACAAATAATAAAATGTTATTAATAGTACCAATGACAATCCTGCACATTTTTAAAGTAGAATAACGTAATAAAAATGTTTTAACATTTTGAATTTAGGGTATGCATTTGTAGGCATCAGCTTAATTAGCAGCATGGTTACCAAGCATGATCAAATACAGTAAATCTCTTAGAAGAAGAATAGCACATGGCAATTTACCAATAATATTTTAAGAGGGTTGATTTTGAAAAATATTAATTTGGTAGGAATTATGTATTTTTTCATATTTTTAATTGAATGAGCAAAGAACTCTTGCTTCCCCAACTCACTGTGTAGCAGACATTCCACAGTGTCTCCAACTTACTTTCACTGTTCCTGACTGCTATAATGACTACATATTCCATGGTATCTTGCTGCCTTTAAACTGTAATTCCTGTACTGATTATATTCCTGAAATTCCTCTCAGCACCTCTCTAGTTCAAATGGCAGGGTCTGTCAATAATGTGACACAACAGTGCCTACTCACAGGGCATAGTAAAGATGTGTCAAAAAGGATGTAAATGTGCGGAAATCTTCACAAAGTAATTTCATAATTAATTCAAATTATTAGGAGTAGGCTATAACTATTTGAAATTCAATGTGAAAATAAATATATGATTTTACATTTTGACCATAAATATGCTTTTAACTGAACCTCAAACCAGGATTTGGGCATTCATGTATTTACACATTCTTAACATGCAGTTAATGAGCTTTAAAACAAAGACCTCTGAAAGCTGCAGGCACTGTGAAGCAACTACTCTTCAGAGTTCACAGGATAAGCACTGAAGTTGTCTAATGTACTGTATATCTCAAAATAAACACTGTACAAGTCCTATTCTTAGCACCCCTCTCTCCTTTTGCCCTTCCAGCAGTGACTTGACAACCTTCTAATCTGTAATGTGAACTCAGTGCAGGGGCTCTGGGAGGGGAAGCAGGGTGAGCTTAGCTGCTAAGAGATAACAATGTCGATGCTTCTATGATAAATTTTGAGTATAAGGGAAATTGTACACGGTACTGGTGTTTGAACATCAGTATTCCTGACCAAAATGTCTTGCTTTTATTTTGCGTGTATTCATACGTATCTGCAAATATGCACATACATGGGCAAAATAAATTCTAGGTTTCAGAATGGAATTTTAACCTCTTCAAATTAACATTTTACACACATGCATGGATATTTACATGCATATGCATGTAAAATACTGACCGTCAATCGAGATTTCTGTATTTTACTTTTTTTCTACTTTATCTATATGCAGTGCATGTTTATGTGCCTGTGTGTACAGGCACAATGAAAACAATGGTCTGCATTCAGATCAATGAAAAAAGGCCTGTATGCACCCCAATGTGCAATGCAGCTACAAAGGTCAATGTATAGGACCACCTGTACAGCAGGGAAGGAGTGGCCCAGCTAATAGGCCTGGTAGCAGCCACCAACCCATCAGCGGTACAGGAGAGGATCTGTGTGAGTACCCATGCACCACGTGGGCGATAGTGAAAGGAGCACTCTGGTGGGAAACCAGACTCGCCACCTACTTGGGACTGTCCATTGCTTAAAGTGACAGGAACCAGATTTCCTGATCAGGGATACCTCCAGATTGCTGGGTTAAGGAAGAGGAATTGATCTAGGGTCTGGGGAGGTACATTAGGAGGTACTGGCTAGCTCTCCAACAGAGACTGCATTGCAGTGGAGGTTTGTAAATAGTTCCAGGAAGTTGTCCTCAGTTCATCAGTTCCCTGGGGCATCCCCTAACCCTATCTTAGTTCAAATCCCCTAAATAAAATGAAACCAAAGCTCAAGGACTGATTTCTGACTCTGGATGCAAGTCTATGTGAAGATGCATGTTGCCTGGCTGTGCAGGACTATAGGGGGACCCAATTATCTAGCGACTCCTATGGGGGGGTAGAGCTGCACTAAATTGTATCAGAAATGCGTGGTGAACATCTTGATAGGTTGTGTCTTTAACCTGATATGCACTTTTATTCCTCCAGTTTATGCCTCAATTGATCTGTGTCATTTATAGAGATGAATGTTTCTCTTACCGCTGTTAAAGCGCCTGCTATCAGAGAAAAGCCAATAGCAACACTTCCTGGCTCTGCCATGTCCCTGCGCCTTCGATCGTCCACAGCAAAGATCGTAAAAGCTAATTGGAATGTAGAGAGGATCTCCATTCCCACAGCCTGTCCAGCATTTCCCTCACTACTCACCTGTGAAGAAAAGACCAGTAAGTGCAAATTTTACCTGCCATCAAAACTCCATTTAAAAAAATGATTTACATTCAGAGTGGCATTAGGCAGGAGGTGATTCCCACCAGAACCCAGAAGGGAAATATTTCCCTATCCTCACCACTGCTGCTGTAACAGGATGAGGTCAGCTTTTTAGCTGTATTATGCATATGAATAACTTTGAAGACTATCTTTCTCTGCAGGTTTTAATTAACCAGGACCACGAGAAACTTGGTTGAGGAGCTATGACCTGTCACAGCAGGGAAGAACAGCAAGGTCTTCTGCCAGGGTCATTAATTGCTGTAAAGACCTACTGAGTAATCAAGGTTTCACAATACAGCCAAAATTGGAAAAAAAAATATTTTCTATAGTTATTTCAGATACTGGAAGATCAAATAATGAACATAAAGGGATAACACACATGATTAAGGAACAAAGCTTAGTGTGCATAGTGTACACTCACCAGCCACTTTATTAGGTACACCTGTTCAATTGCTTGGTAACACAAATTGATAATCAGCCAATCACATGGCAGCAACTCAGTGCATTTAGATATGTAGACACGGTAAAGACGACTTGCTGAATTTCAAACTGAGCATCAGAATGGGGAAGAAAGGGGATTTAAGTGACTTTGAACCTGGAATGGTTGTTGGTGCAAGACGGGCTGGTCTGAGTATTTCAAAAACTGCTGATCTACTGGGATTTTCACACACAACCATCTCTAGGGTTTACAGAGAATGATCCGGAAAAGAGAAAATATCCAGTAAGCAGCAGCTGTTTGCAGTGACATTCAGATGGTAGGGTTAGAATTTGGCATAAGCAACATGAAAGCATGAATCCATCCTGCCTTGTATCAGTGGTTCAGGCTGGTGGCGGTGGTGGTGTAATAGTGTGGGAGATACTTTATCGGCACTAGCAAGGTGTACTTAATAAAGTGGTCGGTGAGTGTATAAATCATATTGAAAAAATATCATCAGTATTAGTGCATGAATTGTGCAGACTTAGAGTATCTGGTGTTCTTAATACACACAGGTTTATGATAATGAGAAATGTTAGAAAGCAACCAGATGATACTCTGATCTGTGTTGTATATGTTAAGTTACTTTGTTATTTAAAGTGGAGCTCCAGTCCAAACAGGTAGAGTTGGTAAGGTGTTAGAAACTCTGTCATGTTATTATTACTGCTTCTATATAAGTTTGAAAGATCCCATCTTACTTTCGGTACTAGTGGCTGTTTTTAATAGAACAGAAAGTGAGGGAAGATCTAAAATGTAACATGTTAACAGAACATGAGTAAAAATGGCAATCTCCTTGAATCACCTGTGCTAGTGGCTACTATTAACGGTGGAATCTTGTGGAGACTACCATTTACTTTTTGGTGTGTCTCCAGAGCAAGAAGAGAGAGTAATCTTCCCTAGTGGGCTTACAAGCAGCAGTAGAAATCTGATAGAGGTTCTAACCATTCCATACGTCACCCAAATCTAGAAAAACATTTTGAGTGGAGTTAAGAATTAGGTGCACCTACAAGTGTACGTAAACTGTAACAATTAACTTTTCTTATTTGCTTCCATTTGGTCTGTAAAATATACTGTAAATATACAGTCCTTATCTTGAGATTACAGAATGATTACCCATTATAATGTGGAGGTAGGAGGTAGGTCTGAGTAGTTCAGCAAGAGAAAACCTGACAGGGCTGATTTTTCTCAGTCCACAAAAAACTATGTTGTCAGTCCACTTTAGAAAGTAGGAGCTGCATTTTTGACAGATCAAGAAGTATTTTTCTGCACTTGCAAGGTCTTCGAAGGGATAAAACATGCATTTATTGCAGAGATGTATTGCTCAAATGCTTTTCGTATTATGGTCTGACATACACTTTAAAGAAATGCATAATAATAATCAACTTCAGGTAAAAGGCAATCTCAAACAGTGGGCTACTAATGTTGTATACCCTGTGCTTCCACTTTGCAATGCAATCCACTCAGTTTACTTTGATTTAAATGTTAAAAAAACATTCCCTAGATCCCATGCTGACTACTCCATTTTGGTTCTCTTATCTACACAATCCCAGTAAGTAGAATTAACATGCTTGCTAGTTTTATAGCTTTAGTTGATGTGACAGTAGTCAAGGGGGACAATTAGAACTAGAAAATTTACAATTTCTGGGGAAATTGTGTGAAGTGTTCTTGCCGCCACCAGTAGTCTACAACTGGAGTGGGCGGAGTAGCTTTTGTCACTCTGCTGGCTGCTCACACACCTGGGTTCCTATGGCAACTCACTCTACAGCAAGGGCAGAGGAGCGGTTAAAAACAAACTGCTCCAACTTGCTCACTTCACTGGCGGTTGCCATCTTCAAATGGTTGTAGTTTTAAAATGATAAATCCTACAGTGAAGAGCCTTATATTGTGAGAATGACAAGACCTAGACCTACATTTTGATGCATAGTATGTCTCTGAAATATTAAAAATGAAGGCACAGTCGCAGTTTAGAAATTGCCCTTCAAATTTCAGGTGTCTAGAGTGGATTTTCAATGAATGTCAATGGGCGGCGTGAGTTGCAAACAAATGGTCATATTGTGAAAACTATCAGGACTATGGCTTAGCCGTGGACATTTTTAGTGGCAGCAGGGATAGCTGAATGTATTGATATAAGATTTGTGTAAGTGGGCTTGAAAATGAGTGATGGCAGTTTAGAAATCATGTCCTGATTTTTCATCACACGCTCTAGCTTTTGTCAGCTCCCACTCTAGTTTTGAACATTCTGCCATTCATTCCTATGGGAAAATTTCACCACAAAAACGGCGAGATTTCGTGAACCATTTGGCGAAACGTTCCACAAAGTAATAGCACACCAATCGGGAACAATCCGCACTTTTCGGTATATTACTGTCTATGTAGTGTAAAAAAACTGTGGGTTAGGGTGGTAAATTTGGCTATAATAATAAGAATATATATGTGAGATAACAATAAGTAGTCTTACCATGCAAGAACACTTAATAATTAATATTTCTGTCGTATGAGAAAAAGGGCAAACAGAATGGTATTTTTGAGATGAAGGTGACATATTCGACTGAATATGAAGTGTGAAGGAGATCTTAGAGACACAAATGTACTGTATGTCCAAGAAAATATGTTATAGGTAGTCCTCTTGGCATGGCGTTGAATATGTATGACTGTGTAGCGTCACAGACAACCAGTATGTTTAAGGCTGAACTTCGGGTTTACTTTCATTGTAAATAGTTTGGTTGGATCAGCTTGGCCCAAACTTTTTAAAGTGAAAGCAAACCTGGGGTTTAGCTTTAAAGGTTGTCAAAGAAAGGTGGAGTGCCAGGAACACAAAACATATAAATACTGTGGAAAGCAATTCTACCAACACATGACCATCTTTAGAAACTGTAATGTTTTGAATGCTTGGAACTTACAAATACTATTTGTCTACACATTTTTCATTTTTTCTATAAGTAACATGACATTTGGAATATTAAACATAGCTACAAATGGCAGGGTTATGTTTACATTACATGTAATTCTCATTTGATTACTGCTACTGGTCTTCATGTTATTGGCAACTCAATTGCCTTACATTTTAGTGATTCACTTACTCTAGTAACAAGCTGAATAAAGACTGATGCCGGTAGGAATAGATAGAAAATTGCAGAGGCACATGTAGCACCAAGAATCTGAGCTACACCAAAGACCAATCCATGAAGCAGATCCAACCTTCGTGCACAAACAAGAGCAGATGTGATGGCTGGATTTAGCTGAGCACCACTTATGTCCCCAAAACTCTGTACCAGACTGACAACTGACAGACCTGCAGCCACAGCTGGGGCCATGGAATGTGTTTGAGATGCTCTCATTTGCAAGCTTGAGGACCCTAAAACTACAACCATCAGTATAAAAGTTCCAAGAGCTTCTGCTAGCACTGAGCGCCAGAATCGATGTTTCCTCAACTCCTAGAAAATGAAATAAAGAAAAAATCTTTAATATATTGCAAATGCATGTTTTATACATTCAACTAAAACCAGCATAAATGTAATGACTGTTTTGCTTCAAAACAACATGAAAACTATTTTTAAAAATAATTTTTTTCCAGTGTATTCTTGCTGCAAATTTCAGGACACCTAGCTTCATTCACATTTTGCAACCCCATGACAGTTATTGAACCACACACATTTTCACACTCTAGGAAACACTTAGTCACAATCTAACTGATCAATTGTAATGTACAGCGCTGAGCGAACTATTGGCGCCTTATAAATACTGTATAATAATAATAATAATAATAATCATTATATTCTGGGTTGTGGGAGGAAACCAGAGCACTCGAAGAAGGCTGGAATTAAGTCTATGCAAACTACAGTATATGCAGATATTGAACACAGAACACTGGGGTTTTTGTAAAAGAATAGCTAATGAAAGAGTGACTAGCTGCTTTATGCCATATTCCTTTCAGGATTTTACAAATTGGATCTTCAAATGAAATGTAGTGTCAGTAATGCATACAATAAACTTGAAAAATTCAAATGTTTACATTTAAAATTTGTCATAATAAAAATACTATGGAGACAGCAAAAGTCTAGCATGGAAATTATGTTGTTAATAAAACATCGGGTAAAGAAAATAATAAAAATCAATAAACAAATAATAAAGAACAAAAGAAAAGTATATGAAGATTTGATTAGCACAACATATGATAATAACGAAGAACCGTATCTGCCTACCTCTTTGATAACCATCCTGCTTCTGTGCTTCTGGGGTGTTGAGTGAATAGACAACCTGAAGCTCTAGACTCCTTCAATCCACTTGTAAAGCTCTCTAACTTTATAACTCAATATATGTTCTCTGACATAAAGGGAAACCTGCAGAAACCGATTTGGTTTCCTTGTTGTTGTAAATAAACAGGAAAATTGGGAATGTTTTCCTTTGATGCAAATCATTAGGAAAAGGCTTAGTTACTGTGGATACTGTGTGATAGAACCCCTATTTCAATGTGAAAAGGATGTTAAGCAGTGCAGCTGGATGGGCCAGATCTAACCCCTTTAGTTACCTTGGTGACTATTGTCATACATTTGATGAGTTACTTTCATCTCCAAAAACACATATTGCACAAATCCATAAATAGAAGCAAATTTAAATAGACAGTTCTTCCCCATGTACTTGGTTACTAATAGAATCCATGTTTGCAGAATTGTTTTAAAAGCTAAAACTCTTACTGCGTCAAATACGTTTGGGTGGCCAACAGGGAAGGAGACCTTGTTGGAAATGCTGTTTTAGCTCAAATCTATGGGGCCCCCCCTCCTCAGTGCTGTGCCCCTCTCCCCCCCATAGCTGCACCAAATGACACTCCATTGGAAGACATAAATGCTGTGGTTGATGACACTGAACAACCTACACTGGGAGAAGCCCTGCGTGCTTTAAGCAAATGCACAGCTTCGGTTAACACACTCAGAGATCGTTTGGGTGGACTGAAGTAAGATGTGTCCTTATTGCAGCAGAGGGAAGCGGCATCAGTGATCTGGAGGACATGATGCCCTCCTTGATTAGCTAAGCACATTCCACTGTACAATTGGCCACGACTAACAATTTAAAAGCTGAAGATATTGAGAATAGGTAAATACATTTCTGTAAAGTATCTGTTAAGTTTTCAGGCGAATACAGTGTTAACATAACAGTAAGCACGTTATCTGAAATGCTATGTAGCACAACACATTCAGATTACAATGCAGAATACTTTATTATTCCCAAAGGTATTAAAATACAGTGATACTCAATGAAGAACAAAGCAGAATCACAATTAACAAACAAACACTAAAGAAGCAAGAACAAACAAAATATAAGTCACCAATAACAGCAAATTATTATATACAATAACATGAATTGAAATAAAACAAATGAAAAACAAAATTAAATACTGTACTGTAATAAACTTACCATCCTATCAAAACACTGCATTGAATAAATAACGTCAGTTGAACAAATAGCAAAAGAGTCAGATTACAAAATGCAAATATTGCACCATTTCCCCTAAATAGTATAATAATACCAACATAATATAAATGCAAAATAAAAATCTGGATCATAAATTTAAATTAAAACCCCCAAGTCCAGCACTCACAGAGAAGAATTATAAATGTGATGGCCACAGGCAAAAATAATTTCAGCGTGGTTGGTACTCTGAAGGTACTCCTCAGACTGACCAGCGTATTGTGTAGTGGGTGGGATGTATGGCCCAAGTTGTCCTACCCTCTGATACTGTGGTTAAAAAATCCAACTCCAATCCAACATCTTTGGGCTTGTGGATCAGCTTACTGAGTCTGTTGGTGTCAGCCATCTTAAGCCTGCTTCCCCAGCATGCAGGAGAGCACTGGCCATCACAGACTCAAAAAACATCTTTAGCATAATTTTGCAGATGTACTAACCATGGGCCATAACATGGGCCATCAACACCTGTAGTCTTCTACATCTGTTCACACAAAGGGCTGACTTGATAAAGTGAGATGAAATTAATGTCTATTCACTTTAAACAAGCATTTATGTATGGGAGATTGGAAAACAGAAGTCCATCAGCTCATCCCTGCAGTTACTACCTTTTTTATCACTTGACCTTCCATTTTAGATTTTAAGCTCTAACAAGCAGGGCCCTCTGCTTCCTCCTGTATTGAATTGTATTGTGACTGTACTGTCTGCCCTTGTGTTGTAAAGTGTTGGCTCTATATAAATCCTGTATAGTAATAACTTTACTATTTACCACCAAATGGACGCCTAATTTATCCTGAAAAAACATGGTATAATTTTCCTTGATATGTTCAACTTTAGTAACACATGCCAAAGTTTAAAAACTGCATTCAGGCATTACGTTTTGTTTTACCTTCAGTTATTAAAAGGTTAAATATTTTTAATGGAGTGCTGTGTCTAAACCAGGGGTACTGAATTAACATTCAAAGAGGTCTGGGCAGTAACATTTTCTTTCTCCAGAGGTCCAAATCTCATTTTTGTTCTATGACTCAGGTCCTACACATCACAGCCCCACCCCCCACCCCTTTTGCATCACAGCCCCCTTTACATCAGTGTGTTAAGTCCCCTCTTTCACATCACAGACCCCCTTCACATCAGAGCCCCCTGTCATCACATCGCAGTCCCCCAACATCATAGCCTCCACCCCAAATATCACAATCCCCCCTGCAATCACAACCCGCCACATCACAGCCCCCCCTCCTGACATCACAGCCCTCTTTGCAATCACAGCCATCCTCCTCACATCACAGCCCCCCCATATCACTTCTTCCCCTCTCTCACAGCAAACCTGCCCATATCACAGCTCCCCCTCTCACATCATAGCTCCCCCCATATCAAAGCTCCCCCCAAAGACTGTCCTCCCTTACAATCACAGTCCCATTAATCCATAGTCTCTACTGCAGTTACAGCTCTTCCCCCTTTCACAGTCCTGCCTTAGTACGGCAGAGGGCGTGAGATATGGGAGGTCTGCGCTGAAGGCGGGAGCTGACCAACTCTTCTTGTTAACAAGTGAAAGGTTAGGCAACTCCCGCTCCCCGTGTAGATAAGCCATATCTCCCGCCCTCGTCCCTGCTGCAAATTTAACAGCAGGCAGGTGAATGCATATACAGAAGCGGAATCCATCCTGCTTTGTCTCCCACCCTCTGCTGTGAACATTAACAGCAGCATCTGCGGCTGGAGAGGAGTCCACTCAGGCTGCCAAGTGGTGTGGCCGCGGTCTGGACAGGACTGTCATTCGTGGTAGTGACGCCTGCTCTAAACAAATCCATTCATAAAAATCTGCTGTAAAATGAGTACAGTGGGGAGTCAACATTGTCACTGCTCACAGTTATATGAATGGCTTTGTTTACTTTCAGACTCATTCACACAATATAAATATGTCTGAAGTAAACTGTTTACACCTGGTGTTGGGAGAAGAGTGGCTTAACCAGGGGGAGGATATGGTTGAGAGAAGAGCAGCTTGATTGGAGTAGGGTGTGTAGGGGAGTGGCACCTTAAGGAGGGAGAGATGACAGGGACAAGAGCAGTTAGATGGGGGAGAGGTGGATCTGACTTATAATTTAGTCCTGCACACAGCTCAGACCACAGTGTTCCTTCCACAGGAAAAACTTCAGACATTTTTACTCTCAGATTTTATTTCTCCAGTCCAGAAGACTCTCTGCTTTTGCATGAGAGAACTAGGTCTGATTGTAGCCTCTTTTGAGGCATTTCCATTAGCCTAGTTTCACTCAATTGCTCTACTTTTTGTGGTCATGGGATTAGTCAATCCAATCTCTGGACAGACCAATGTGTTTGTCACCGAGGACCAGGTTGTCCCTGGCTTGGTGGCTTTGGAATCCAGCTCTGGAGTTGGGGGAGGTCCTCTATTCCCATCTTTTGGAGGATCCTCATGATGGAGGCCAGCTGTTAGGATGAGGAGGGGCCCTGGGCATGCTGTCAGCACAGGAGACTTGGCTGCTGTCTGAGTCTCATCTGCCAATGAACATCCTGGAACTTTTGGCACACAATTTGGCTGTCTGTGCAGTGTGGCCTGTCCTACTAGAGGGTCATCTGTTCCACATTCAGTTGAAAATTCACAGAAGTGGCATACAGCAACTGTCAGGGAGGAATCAGACGTCTTGCCACAGCAAGAGAGCTGGATCAGATCCTGTCCTGGGCAGAACTTCATGTTCCAGCATTGTCAGCCTCTCCTGAAACATCTTCCACGTTCAGGGGCGGACTGACCATTTGGAAACTCGGGCGCTCCCCGAGGGCCCAGGTCAGTAGGGGGCCCCATGAGATGCCCCTGGTACCTTTTTCATAGGCTTTTTTGTGTTTGGGCAAGGACACAGGGGCCCCATGA